GGGTGGTTGGTTCGAATCCCAACCATGGCACCTCCTGCCTGGAGTTTGCATGTTCTCCCTGTGCCTGTGTGGGTTTCCTCCAGGTACTCCGGTTTCCTCCACACACTCCAAAGACATGCTGGTAGGTGAATTGTCTCCTGTCTAAATTGTCCCTAGTATGAGTATGTATGAATGTGAGTTAGGGACCTTAGATTGTACGCCCCTTGATGTGATGTGAATGTAAAGCGCTGCGTAAATGTACGGTGCAATATAAGTACCTGAAATGAATGAATAAATAAATATTTTAATCTGCCCAGCAACAAGTTGGCCAAAAAAAAATTTAAAAAAAAAAATGCAAAACGCATCAAAAAAAGCAAAATGCACTACAAAACACAAACTGCATTGGTGTGAACCAGGCCTTAAATGCATCAAGGATGCATAAAAACCATACACGTATTGCGTTTCTTTATGCGTTTTGAATTTTTTATCTGCCCAGCCAACAAGTTGGCCAAAAAAAATTCAAAAAACACAAAACGCATCAAAACATGTTTGAAAAAATGTAAAACATACAAAAAAAAAAGCAAACTGTGTTAGTGTGAACCAGGCCTGCAATGCATTGAAAATGCATAAAAAATCCATGTGTTGCATTTCTAATCTGCCCAGCAACAAGTTGGCCAAAAAAAAAAAAAAGCGTCAGAATCGCACTGCAAAATGGATGAAATGCAAACTGCACTGGTGTGAACCAGGCCTGAAATTCGTTGAAAACCCATCAAAAACGCACGTGTTGTATTGTTTTTTTGTCACATGACCTATGAAAAATGCACCTTAATGTGGTAAAATCGCAGCAAAATCAGCAAAATTGTGCGTTTTTTTTTTTTTAGCGGCCATTATCAGTAAAATGCTGATAACACTTTTTACAGCTGGTACATTTTGGTCGCTAATATATCGGTGCATCCTTAACCAGGGCATTATATTTGCATAACTCCTTCTGAGAGCCAACCCACGGCTTGCATCAGGACTGAGGGAGGGAGCTATGTACAGCACTCTTCTGGCCCCCTCCACCAGCCATGATCTGCCTGCATTGCATAGAGAAGCACAGAGGCTCATTGATGCTGTCAGTGGGTCTGATATAAGGTATGTAATGAAAACAGCTTTTTTTAGTTTTTTTTTTTTTACTTTTTGTATTAGTATATTGATGAGGGGGAGAGGAAAAAAAAAACCAAGGAAGGCAAACTGTAATCAGATTAAACTTCAGCTGGGTGTTCATCCCAGGTGGCACATGAAGCAAACCTGTCTGTCCAGTTTTTTTCCTCTTGCTATTTTGCACATATTTCGTGCTATTTCTAGGAAGGAGCAGAGATACACCCGGCAATATCCCTGACACACCTCGTTCTGGAAGCCATCATCACATTGCAATTAGTCTGCCAGAGTAGAACTATTATAGTCAGTGAGCTGGAAATACTTCGCTGTGGATAAGATGTATGAATGTTGGAGATCTGACCATCTCCAGTGGCTAAGTGGTTAGCACTTCCGCCTGGCAGTACTAGGGTCGTTGAATCCCATCTACGGCACCACCTGCCTGGAGTTTGCATGTTCCCCCTGTGCCTGCGTGGGTTTCCTCCGGGTACTCCGGTTTCCTCCCACACTCCAAAGACATGCTGGTAGGTTAATTGGCTCCTGTCTAAATTGGCCCTAGTATGTGTATGTAAGTTAGGGACCTTAGATTGTACACCCCTTGAGGGTTAGGGACTGATGTGAATGTACAATATATATATATATGTATATGTGTGTGTGTGTGTGTATGTATATGTGTGTGTGTGTGTGTGTGTTATGTATATGTATATGTGTGTGTGTGTATATATATATATGTGTGTGTGTATATATATATATGTGTGTGTGTGTGTGTATATATATGTATATGTGTGTGTGTGTGTGTATATATATATATGTGTGTGTGTGTGTGTGTATATATATATATGTATATGTGTGTGTGTGTGTGTGTGTGTGTGTTGTGTGTATATATATATATATGTGTGTGTGTGTGTATATATATATGTATATGTGTGGTGTATATATATATGTGTGTGTGTGTGTGTGTATATATATATGTATATATATGTATATGTGTGTGTGTGTGTGTATATATATGTATATGTGTGTAAAGCACTGTGTAAATTGACGGCACTATACAAGTACCTGAAATAAATAATAAATCTCCGCTCGTTGCGTACTCCTCCTGCTGACCTACGGCTGTCAAAATAGAAACAATGAGGCCTAATAAATAAAGCTTGCCTGTTGTGCTGCACTTGGCAGAGTGACCCCCCAGGGTGGATGTTGCCTCCGTCTGCTGCCACATAGCGCCTGGATTGTGGCCGACTACCGTCCAGCTCTCTGTACATTCAGTGCATATATTGATCTTTCTGAAAATCAATATTTACTTCATTTACAAAAATTAGCAAAAAAAAAAAAGAATTTTATACAATTGTGAACCAAATTATATTGTAATTGAATGTTAAGAATTAGCTTTCCTTCTCAGTCTGCAGTGTGTAATTTTCTGTAAAATGTAATGAAGTATGGCTGCCGGGAGCCGTTCTGTACTCAGGTGGTAAAGATGAAAATGTCATCGCCTGCTTGTGTGATTGGCTTACTCATTTTCCCGGAGGTCCGCACTAAGATACCGGTCAGATTTGTGGTATCCCCTGCAATTAAAATATCATTTTGGTAGGGATGCAGCAATCCGAGTATTTTTATGAGTACTCGTGAAAATACTCCCGATACCCTAACTGATACTTTGCGGTGTGATTTGTTTTAATGGGCGCAAATTGCATCGCAAAGACTAATGCAGTTTGAACAGAAATGTGATTCCTGTCCAAATCGCATGCGGTTTCCCCTCTGCTCCTGTGTGAACCCAGGATTGTCATAGCCCGAGATCACACAGGAGTGGTGCTGGAAACCTCCCATGCTGAGTCTCTGTGATAAGAGAGGAGAGAAAGCGGCAAGAATTTCAAGTTGCCACTACTTTTTCTTCTCTTTGCAATGTTGACAGTTCAGGCTAGACTGCATCTGATTGGTCAGCACCGTCCATGTAACATTTAGACGTAGATCAGCAGTTTTTGAAATACTCAGACCACTCCATCTGGCACCAGTAACCATGTCATGTTCAACGTCACTTAAATCCCCTTTCTTCCTCATTCTGATGCTCAGTTTAAACTTCAACAAATCATCTTCGCCATGTCTACATGCTTAAATGCATTTGCTGCCAGCTAATTAGCAATTTGTGTTACCAAACAATTGAACAGGTGTACCCAAAAAAAACTAAAGGAACCCTTTGAAAACACATCAGATCTCAATGGGGAAAAATCTCCTGCTGGATATCTATACTGATATGGATGGGTAATGTGTTAGGAAGGTAAGGATGACCCATTGTTTGATGGAAATGAAAATTATCAACCTACAGAGGACTGAATTCAAAGACACCCCAAAAACCAAAGTGAAAAAAATGATGCAGCAGGCGAGTCCATTTTGCTGAAATTTCATTGCAGCAACTCACAATGGTACTCAGAGACGATGGATGGTGTCCTGGGGTATTTCCTCCCAAATCTGGACCAGGACATCACTGAGCTCCTGGACAGTCTGAGGTGCAACCTGGCGGTGTTGGATGGACCTAAACATGATATTCCAGAGGTGTTCTATTGGATTTAGGTCAGGCGAGCGTGGGGGCCATTCAATGGTATCAATTCCTTCATCCTCCAGGAACTGCCGGCATGCTATCACCACATGAGGCCGGGCATTGTCATGCACCAGGAGGAACCCAGGACCCACTGCAGCAGCGTAGGGTCTGACAATGGGTCCAAGGATTTCATACCGATACCTAATGGCAGTCAGGGTGCCATTGTCTAGCCTGTAGAGGTCTGTGTGTTCCTCCATGGATATGCCTCCCCAGACCATCACTGACCCACCACCAAAACGGTCATGCTGAACCATGTTACAGGCAGCAGAACGTTCTCCACGGCTTCTCCAGACCCTTTCATGTCTGTCACATGTGCTCAGGGTGAACCTGCTCTCATCTGTGAAAAGCACAGGGCACCAATGGCAAACCCCAATCGAGCTCTATGGTGCCGGGCAGTGAGCACAGAGCCCACTAGGGGACGTCGGACCCTCAGGACACCCTCATGAAGTCTGTTTCTGATTGTTTGGTCAGAGACATTCACACCAGTGGCCTGCTGGAGGTCATTTTGTAGGGCTCTGGCAGTGCTCACCTGTTCCTCCTTGCACAAAGGAGCAGATACCGGTCCTACTGATGGGTGAAGGACCTTCTACATCTCTGTCCAGCTCTCCTAGAGTAACTGCCTGTCTCCTGGAATCTCCTCCATGCTCTTGAGACTGTGCTGGGAGACACAGCAAACCTTCTGGCAATGGCAGGTATTGATGTACCATCCTGGAGGAGTTGGACTGCCTGTGTAGCCTCTGTAGGGTCCAGGTATGGCCTCATGCTACCAGTAGTGACACTGACCCTAGCCAAATGCAAAACAAGTGAAAAACAGAGAAGATGAGTAGAGAAAAAAATGTCAGTGGCCTCCACCTGTAAAACCATTCCTGTTTTGGGGGTCGTCTCATTGTTGCCCATCTATTGCACATGTTGTTAATTGTATTACCACCAAAGCAGCTGAAACTGATTAACAAACCCCTCTGCTACTTAACTGACCAGATCAATACCTCAGGAGTTTCATTGACTTGATGCTAGACTCTGATGAAAAAGTGTTCCTTTTCATTTTTTTGGAGCAGTGTATATGTATATGTGTATGTATAGAGGGGAAGTTTCTACATTTTACTGACAGTAATTGTAAGTGCGAGAATTGTTCTTACCACCTTTCGTTATATTTGCATAGTAGCCGTTTGGGACTCTCTACAGATGACACAGCCTGAACCTTTGCTGAACAGATGTTGCATTAGTGGTTTATTTTTGTTCAGCAAGTCAAAGTCAATAATAATTTGTTTCTATCATTTTTTTCCCATTCCAGGGTCCCGGCTGTTGCTCCGACTTGGCAGTCTCCTTTCACTACGTGGATGCTACAACAATGTACCAGCTGGAGTATCTGGTGCATCATCTCCGTCCTTACGGCTACAAACACAGATATGATCCTGAGGCTCAGAGTCCCCCTGTGCCGGTTGTAAAAGAGGCAGCGAAGGACGTGAAGACATAA